AAAAAAAAAAAAAAAAAAAAAAAAAAAATCAAACTCAGCCATTGCTTCCTTGAGGTACATTTTTCAGGGCCCCAGTTATAGTCAAGTTCTGACCTCCTGCACTGAGAATTAGCTTCCTTGGCTGACCTCTTTTGCACTCCATGCCTCTGAACTACAGGAATGGGGCTGCCATTTGTCTGATCCTCAGTGCTCAGGAAGGGTTGAGCGACCGACCACCCCACTTTGTCTGGGACGTTCCAGGATGCTGAGTTTTCAGGGCTAAAACAACAAGTCCCAGAAGTCCTAGATAAAGCAGGAGGAGCTGGACACACACACACACACACACACACACACACACACACACACACTCACCAGCGCACAGCAGGAGCTCAATAAATGCTAACTGAGACAATGATTTAATTATCCCATTTCATTACGAAGTCATAGACAAGTTGCTAATTCTCAGCAGTAGAGGGTTACAGTAATGGGTGCTCTTCACCACAAAAGAATAGGAAGAGTTGCAGAGCTGCATTGGCCATGCTGAGCGTGGGCCTGCGTGTCCTCCTGGATTACTCACCGCAGTCCATTTTATAACCCCGACGTGTCCCCCTGCCATTTCCGGAGCTGCTCATTCCCACTGTGCAGCTGAAGGAGATGACAGCAAAGGAGCAGGGAGAAATGTAAGTGCGGTTTTAACATTCTGCAGTGAAGGCAGCCGGTTCTCTACCAGGCTGTGAGGGGAGGCAGACCACGGAACAAATGGGCACCGTTCGCCACTGGGAAAGGACATGCCTTTGACTCCAAACGAGGTCCCAGCCATTGCCATTTATTTCCCAGTGTTGGGAAAGTTTTTCAATTCTTACATTGTTAAGAAATAAAATTCTCATTTTACTTAGTTTTTTTAGGTAAGATTTATTTATTTACGTTTTCCCTCGTTGAGTTCATCGGCACATTTTAGGTACACAGTACAGTCACATTCATCATTGGGATCTTGTACCTTTACTTGACAGGTCTTGGTTCTCATTTTCCCCCCTTGTCCCTGCCCTCCCCTCCCCCCTCCCCCTTTACAAACACTTCATTTCCATTTTTGCATTTTCTCATATTTTTTTCTTTTCCCTTATTACCTTTCCCCTACCCTTCCCACTTTCCCTACACCTTTAGCCCCTTTCTTCCTATTTCACATTGTCAATTCTATCATTAGGATCTTATGTACTATTATAGCTTATTCACACTAGAGAAACTATTCGGTATTTACACATGTGTGACTTATTTATTTCATTTTACAAAAACACTTCATTTCCATTTTTGCATTTTCTCATATTTTTTTCTTTTCCCTTATTACCTTTCCCCTACCCTTCCCACTTTCCCTACACCTTTAGCCCCTTTCTTCCTATTTCACATTGTCAATTCTATCATTAGGATCTTATGTACTATTATAGCTTATTCACACTAGAGAAACTATTCGGTATTTACACATGTGTGACTTATTTATTTCATTTTAGGAGAATAGAATATGCTTAATATGTATCCTATGAATGAATCTAATTTCTTATTCTTTATGGCTGAGTAATATAGAGGTTCCATTTGACCTAGCCATTCCTCTGCTGGATATCTTCCCAAAAGAATTAAAAGAATCATATCACAGAAATATATGTGCACCTATGTTTATAGTGGCACAGTTTGTAATAGCTAAAACATGGAAAAAGTCCATTTGCCCATCAGTTGGAGACTGGATAAAGAAGAGGTGGTTTTTTTTCAACTTAGTTTTTGATATCTAAATGATATATGTCACTGCTGTGCCATAGCTCCAGTTTTGAGTTTTGTTTTGTTTACTGGGAATTTAAGTGCACAAAACTGTGAGCTATGCTGTATGTTAGCAAGCCCCCTTAGTACAAGCTCAGTAC